GTGTGTGATTGACTTGGGTGTGGCTCCTTCTGTAACACACACAAACACATAAAAACTGCAAACCACAGTGTGTTTGGCTCACACACATGCATGGAAACTTCTATTTGCATATTAGCAGCAGGACCACGGATGCTTCCTGCACCCACTGTGTGTTGGCACAGTTCATGTGTGTGAGAGCATCATTGTGTCGGTCTGTGGGTGTGTGAACGTGAAGATAATACACTTCCTTGTGTTCGTGTAAGCACGATGCCCCAGTGTGTCAGTCAGTCACAGCGTGGTCCACCCTGCAACACAAAGGCTCTGTGTGCGTGCGTGTGTGTGTGTGTGCGTGTGTGTGTGTGTGTGTGTGTCTCCTGTCTGGAGATTGTGGGATGAATAAAGGGGCAGCAGGATCATGATTGGGGTGGATTATTAGTTAAGGGGCCGGAGTTGTTTTTATGGACTCAGGTGCTCGGCTGGTGTCTTCGTGCCCTCTGTGCCTCACGTTCTGAATGTGGAGTGATGCTCACGCTCCACTGGCGTGCTTCTTCTTTCTGTCTCCACCTGCAGCCTTTCCATCCCATGGTGAACCTGCAGTGCTCCCCGGAGCTCAGGATGTTCCTGTGTGCGCTCTACGCCCCGGTGTGTACCGAGTACGGCCGGGTCACGCTGCCGTGTCGCCGCCTCTGTCTGCAGGCCAAGAGCGACTGCTACAAGCTGATGGACATGTTCGGTGTGAGCTGGCCAGAGGAGATGGACTGCAACAGGTTGGTGCAGCAGCAGCAGCTCTGCTGGAGGAACGAGGCCAGCAAACATCCTTAAAATGATTTATTTTCATTATAAAGTTTTGTGACTGATCTGATGGTAGAGTCAGCGTTCTGCACTTGTAGCTTCACCTTTGAAGCTTTTATGTTTCCCCGAGGAGTTTGCTAACATGTGACTGTGTCCTTGTTTGTTCGTAGTTTAAGGACAGTTTTTACTTCTTGCAGTTGCATTTATGCTTCAGTAATCAAATGTTTTATTTCCTGTATTTTCTTCTGTGGAAAAATCCGATTGGTTTGTTTTTGTTGAACACAGCTGACGTGGGAACAACAAAAACACAAAACATTTAAACCTGGTTTTCCAAACACACAAGTTTAAAAAATATTGATAAGCGATAAGAAACACAGCAGGGAGCAGAGGAGGTGATGTGGTCCTCGGTGCCATCTTCATCTCCCTGTAAACGACATCATTCAGGTACGAGCCACAGGCTCAACAGCTGCCCGAGGTCACCGCCTCTCGTCTGCTCTCAGGTTCCCGGACTGCGACGAGCCCTACCCCCGCCCCGTGGACCTGCTGTCCGGCTCGGACACGACCGAGTCTCCCATCTCCGTCCAGAGGGACTACGGCTTCTGGTGTCCCCGCGAGCTCAAGATCAGCCCCGAGCTCGGTTACTCCTTCATGGGGGTGCGCGACTGCTCTCCTCCGTGTCCCAACATGTACTTCACACGTGAAGAGCTGACGTTCGCCCGCTACTTCATCGGAGTCGTGTCCATCGTCTGCCTCTCTGCCACGCTCTTCACCTTCCTGACGTTCCTCATCGACGTGTCGCGATTCCGCTACCCGGAGCGCCCGATTATATTTTACGCCGTGTGCTACATGATGGTGTCCCTGGTGTTCTTCCTGGGCTTCCTGTTGGAAGACAAAGTTTCCTGTAATGCAGCTAGTCCTGGGAGGTTTAGGGCTTCGACCGTGACCCAGGGCTCCCATAATAAGGTCTGTCACTGGGCTTGAACCCTGCTGGTTTTCTCCTCCTTCCATACGTACAGATCCAGACAGACTGTGTGTTTTTCTGTTCTTTGGCAGGCCTGCACGCTTCTCTTCATGGTGCTCTACTTCTTCACCGTGGCCGGCAGCGTGTGGTGGGTCATTTTAACCATTACCTGGTTCCTAGCAGCTGTTCCTAAGTGGGGCAGCGAGGCTATAGAGAAGAAGGCCCTCCTGTTCCACGCCTGCGCCTGGGGCATCCCCGGCGTCCTCACGGTGACTCTGCTCGCCATGAACAAGATCGAGGGAGACGGCATCAGTGGCGTTTGCTTCGTCGGGCTCTACAACTTAACAGCCCTGCGCTGGTTCCTGCTGGCCCCGCTGGGACTGGATGTAGTGGTGAGGAAGAGCGTAGCAGGAAGTCCTGTAACGTCCTTTTGTCGCTGTGTCTGTGCACCGAGACGTCTCTGGTTCTTAAGTCTCCGTTTGCAAAACTGCCGGGACGAGAAAGACGTGCGAGTCGGAGTAAAACCTGAAGATAAATTCATACTTTACAAAATACATGTTTTTGTTCTGTTTACCTTTGTTTTCATTTCTCAGTGTACAGTTCTGAAAGTGTGTGCGTGCGTGCGTGCGTGCGTGCGTGTGTGTGTGTGCAAACGAGAGCAGCTGCTGCGTCGCGCAGCGACTTGCACAGATTTATCCGTTTATGTTGCAAATTGAATAAAATGACATGTGTGTGACATCACGTCTGTGTCTCCAGGTGGGCGTGGTCCTGCTGCTGGCAGGTATCGCTGCTCTTAACAGAGTCCGCATGGAGATCCCGCTGGAGAAGGAAAACCAGGAAAAGCTGGTGAAGTTCATGATTCGTATCGGCGTGTTCTCCGTGCTCTACCTGGTTCCCCTGCTGACCGTTCTGGCCTGCTACCTCTATGAGAGCAGCTACAGGCCCGTCTGGGAGACCACCTGGGTCCAGGAGAAGTGCAGAGACTACCACATCCCGTGTCCCTACCAGGTAAACAAAGTCACCGACTGGTAAAAGAGCAAATAAATAACAAAGGATGGAGACGTTTGATCGTTTCACACATTGTGTTTGAGTTACATTATAAATCGCTGGTGCAACAACAACAACAACAACAACAATAATAAGAATAATAATGACCTGGAATACAAAAACCCAAAGAACACTGATTGATTCTCAGGTTCGAGTTCTTCACCGTTACACAATCGAGGGATCAGGAGAGCTGATATAACCAGACTGTGTGTTCATCACAGCATTGTGCGCACACACACACTCACACACACACTCACTCACCTGCGATCGCTGGTATGTATGAGACGATTTGGTAATGCGCCTCAGCAGCTGCGCTAGCCTCCAGCATCAGCACGCACAGCGGAGCTCCTCCCACAGAGCCGTTAATAATTCAGACGTCTCGCGTTCTGTTCCTTTCAGCAGCGATCGCCTCCGGCCGCTGCAGACGCTCAGTGCTGCAGAGGCAGACTGTTTCTTGTCTGCGGTACTAGTGGAAGAGAAGTTTGAACTCTCAGGTTTGGATGTTGGTCTCTGATACTTTTACCTCCAAGTGTCAGAGCTCAGCCTTATGATGCTGTTAGCCACGGGAAGAGCTGCGTGTCCAGGACGCAAATGAGACGTTTGTGATGCAAAGTTGTGCTCTTAATCTGTCCTGTAAACACTGTGTGCGCGCTCTGACTCGCCACAGTGCACTACAGAGATGCTGCTAGCTGTAAAGATTTTTCAGTAGGCGTTCACACACGCGTGCATCAGCAGAAAGCTTTGACTGAACTATATTTATATCTGGAACGTTCTGCCTGAGGCTGAGCGCTCTGTAGAGCTCCTGAGATGCTCAGTGAGCTCACATGGCTGGACAGCCGTGTGGTCATACAGCCTGTAATGAGGATGCTGCCTGCAGTCATGCATCCAGTCTCTTATCTCTGTGCGGTAATGAGTTCTTCTGTGGATCCTGAGCCTCTCCACCCGGCCCGCTTATAACGAGGCCATCATGACGACATCTGTGTGGACGGGAAGCAGGAGGAGAGA